ATCAATACCTATGTTTTGGAGACCACTAAGTGCGTTCTCCAGTATTTCGTCTACGACGAAATTGATCAGGAATGGTGAAATAGAGCACCCTTGACGAACACCGCTCCTGGTTTCGAAAGATTTACTTAGCACACCGTAGATCCTAACGCTATTAGAAGTATGCAGGTACAGCAAACGCAATAGGTTTACATACATCCGCGGCATTCCTTTGCGGAGCAGCGACTCCAGAAGAGCTTCACGGTCAACTGAATCGAAGGCTCCCTTTAGGTCAGGGAACACTGTGATCGTTGGTCGACGGTGGGCAGCCCAAGAACCTGGCGTAACGTAAAAATGTGATCAATACATCCACGGCCAGGCCGGAATCCGGCTTGCCGTTCACGGATGTTGTTCTCTCTTAAAGGAGTCAGACGTCGAAGTTTGACCGAGGCTAGCACTGTGGTGACGGTCGGGATCAAACTTATTCCGCGGTGGTTTTCACAATCGTTGTGAGATCCTTTGACAATTGGAACGGTCAGTGATTCGCCCCGAGATGAAGGAATGTGCTCTTGCATCCAAATGTTGCTCAGTAAGGTAGTAATACAGCTTGCGAGGTTATCACCACCCATCTTGAAAAGAGTGGGTGGGAGCTCATCTGATCCTACTGCCTTTCCTCGCTACAGAGCCTGAGTGCCGAACCGAACTTCTGCTTCCGTTGGAGGATCGCACGACACTGCCCAAGGAGCTTTAGTTGCAGATGAGGCGACCTGGTTAGCGGCAGGCCAGCTGAACTGTTCGCTGAAGTATTCTGCCCAGCGATCAGGTCGTTGATCCCTATTGTGAATAGCTTGTCCCATCTTGTCACAGACTGTTCCACTAACCGCAGTTCGCCGACCTCCCCTATTGTGTATCAGTCGAAACAGTCTTTGATTATTCCCTGATGCAGCTGCTACTTCCATTTCACTAGCTATTGTTGTCCGCCAGTTCTCATGATCCTTCTTGAGGCTCTTCGTAAGTTGATGTTGTAGGTGCCACCTAACTCCATTTTGATCCTGGCAGGTCGGGATTTGTCGTTTTTTCTCTATCAGGGCTACTGACTCCTGAGATATCTAATGCCTGCGACGGGCTGGAGGCTCAGACCCACAAGTAACATTCGCTGCGGAATGCATTGCTCGCCTAATCTGATCCCACTGCTCATCTACATTATCAGGTTGAAGTGAGCTTAGCCTAAGTACTAGCTCTGATTCATAGCGCACTTCTGGGACAGATAGTCTATGATGAGCTATCCGAGTATGCTGGTCTTGTCGGAGAGTGAACTGCATAAAAACTAATGCGTGGTCAGACTCAACGAAGATGGTGGTTCAATAGGACCTGCAATTTTGCACTGAATCACGCCAACGGTAGCTTACTGCTATGTTGTCGATTTGAATTAGCGTACCGGTTGAACTGGAGCGCTGCGTTGCCGTCCGTCGAGAGCTGTCGGAAGTTGGTGCGCGATAGATGGTGTAAGCTCCGTAGATCTCACTCAACTTCTGTCCGATCACTCGCTTGATTATTCACAATCCCAGTTGAGTTGAGCAAAACGTAAGCACCTTATCGTACGGTATACGTATATAAATATCAATGCGGTGCTGTAAGAAAGAAATAACTAACATTTAGTACACGTAAATAGGAGATTGGCATACATTGATAGTGAAAGGGGTAAGTACTCACATCAAGATTTCCCGAGTCCGCGTAAATAAACAACGCAATAACGATCCACATAGGTCGTACGTAATAGTCCGGTGTGTAATCGAATGTGTATGGGACCCTAGTCACCCAGACTGATGGGTGAATGTCACAAGGTCAAGTATATTGATTAGCTGGGTTCACGAATGCGCGAATGGGTCAGAGTGGTGAGGTGACAGGCGCGGTGAGTGCGTGTATGGTCATATGACTGGTTGCCTTGTCCTAGTGTACGTCGGCGTCGCATAACTTGTGTGCGTGCGTGAGTGCTGTGTATCGCATAACTGAATCAACGAGTGTGAACACGTGTGTAGGTAGGATGGGCAGATCGGGAAGCATGTCGGCGGCTACCATGAAAAATTCACCAGGACCACATCATAAATCTTTGAGTTTACAGATGGTCTGCACAGAACTGAGGAAGTTGATCGCCGTTATCTGTTCGTTGGCTGGGCAGAGCACAACTATCACCTAGGCAAGCTTCCGAAACGCCCAGTTTTCCAACCTGAGCGTTGAAGTCACCTGCGCGACGAGTGATACAGCATGGAATTATTTTGCAATTTGTGTATGCACTGGGGGTTTTGATGGACGGGTAGTGCCAGGGTATCCAGCCATTAAGCAGGAGAACGATTAGGGTTCTCGTCCAACGCCTTTAGTTTTAACAAGAACCTTACCGTAAGGCAGCGGGTGAAGCGAAGTGGAAGCCCATGTACTTGGATCGATTACTCCTCCACCGTATTTTATCGACTAAAACGCAAATTTCAGTCGAACCCCCAGCCTGGAGGACAAGGAGACTGAACTTCCTCTAACCTTTGCCCATTGACCTTCCAGGCATGATAAGATCTCCTGGTTTGACAAAAGCCATCCCGTGGAGCTCGTTGGGTCACAGAGGTGCACAAGTCATCACACAACGTCAAGGTGCAGTGTATTCGTCATGGGCCTCGTCCTCGTTGTTGTGTTGTGATCTCAGGGGAGCCACTACCCCCCAGAATCGCATAGGGGCGTTTCAAATAGTCCCTACATGACTTGACGATGATTACAGTGTGTCTACTCTAACTAGTGCAGCAGTCAACGGGGACCCAAAGATGAATTCTGTCACAATCTGCAGGAGCCAATCAGTCGAGGCTTGACCTCCTTTTCAGTGTAGGAGACTGGAATGCTCGCACCGCTTATCACTTTAAATTTCTCAACATATCCGCGGGAAATTTGATCTTGAGAAGCTCTGAAAGAATGAGGGTGCCTGATCACATTTATTTGAACCGAAATGAACAGAATGCTTGCTTGCATCACGCTTTTTCAGCATTCGAAGACGAAATTCACGTCTAATAATCGAGCACCGCTATTAGTTCCAGTAACCAAAAATAGCCTATTTCTTCGAATTTTGATTCACCGACTCGGTCAATCATCAGTTTCCTCGGGACACACAATAGGCCGTTAAAATGCCTAAAGCAACAGTACTCGATTTTCAGCTTAAGGGTTCTCATGCGTCAAGACTGTTCCAGCTTTATACTTAGTCTCGGAGTCAGACAAGGTTGTTTTTTCTTCGCTGATGATATTCAAATTATGCCGCTGACTGAACAATGAGATCGGTAGGGACCTGTTACCCTGGTATCCATCTGAGTCACGAAGGTTGCCTCTCGGACTTGGAGTTCGTGAACGAAATCGTCAACCTTAGAGACTCACCATCTACATTCCAATCAGCCCTCGACCCAATCCTCTTTTCGCGAATTCCCTCT